CGCCGCCGACGCAGGGGGCCGCAGCGCCGCGAGTTCTCCCGTCAGAGAGCCGGCAGCCCGCAACGCGAGTGTTGCTGCCGAGCTTTGATAATCGAGAGGCCGCAACAAGCACTGTGAGAATCGTCCTCGTCGCCTACGTCGTCGCCGTCACCCTCGCTCTCGCCGCCGTCGACAGCAGGGGACAGGGGGCCCGTCGAGGAGAGGAGGATTTCGCGTCCGTATACGTTTTCCGACGTGCGCTCGACGGAGAGGCTTCCGTAATTGGACAACGTAACGTCGTTCGCCGTCGGAGGCCATCCGTCGATCTCTCTACCGCCGGTCTCCGTGTAGTTCTCTATCTCTCGGACCCTCCTCTCTCTCGTTCGGTCTCTCGCCCGGTCCGCTCGCCCAACCCCCGTCGTCTTCGGGACGCCCGGTGTTGTAGCACCGCCGTACTCGCCTCGATACGTAGAGACACGTATAACGTCAAACGTACGTCACTGTGCTTCACACGACAGTTCTATCATTTCTCATCGCTCTCTCTCTCTCTCTTTTTTCTGCTCCACCTGTTCTCTTTTACCTCTCCTATTTCTTTCCTACCCTCTTTCCTTGCCCACTACCTCTCTCCACCACTTGCTTCTCCACCCCTCCTCCTCCCGCCCCCCTTCCGCCTCTTTCGCTTTAATCTCACCCGTTTTTCAATCGTTCCGATCTCTGCGTCTAATACAGTATTTTTCGCGGTGCGCGAGAAAGGAGCGAGAGAGGGGTGCCCCGCTCCATCTCCCCCAACTGGGTCTCGAGAAAGCAGACGAAGGGAACTTGACAACTTGGAGACGGACAGCCTTCAACGCGCGACATCCCTTTCCTCCGAGGGACAGGCCTTCCCGGCTTCAGTCACGGGCGACGTCAAGGCGGTTCGCCTATCACCGCAGTGGTAACAGCCCTCCAGGATACTTCCGGGACTTGGAATTCGATTCGTCCGAGGCTATCCCACGGCTCGTGGTACCCAGGAATATTGCTGGGGGAGTGTAACGAGTAACCAGGTGAGTACGCTACTACTGTTAGAAAGGCCGAGGACTCGACAGACTCGAACCGATCGAAATCCGCTATCCGCCGCCGTGTCGGCGACCTACCATTTAACCGGGTCACGATGGCAACGACGGACGGACGGACGGACGAACGGACGGACGGACGGACGGATGGTTGAGGCGTATGCAACCCTGACGAAATTTCTGCTGACGATTTCCTCGCCTGCCATATGACGTATGGATTTTATCGGTCGGCACCACACCGCCCGCCGCCACTACCGCCGTCACCGCTATCGCCGGGTGTCTCGCGAGAGGGGGTGATCTGTTACTAAGGGGGTTGCACTGCAGTGCACGGTGCGTGGTGGGGTGGGACTTTCGTCCCGAAAGTTTCACCGGGATGCAATCAATTCTCGTTCGCCGGTCATCTTCGTTACTTCCGGTATTGGAATAGCTCGTAACTCGATATCTTCTCGATCTTTTTGGTTAAAAAAAAAAGCAAACGAACGGAAAAATCTTATCGACGGTGCTATCCACTCTCTGATGTTCTAACAGAAGGTACCGGCATCATCCCCTAACATGACCACAGTACATTTCGCACGGATCGATCGTGATTCGGCCACGTAAGACTTTCGGCTGTTCCCCTCGTCTTGACTCCAGTCGAATTTGGATCAATGATCTAAGGACTGTGCGGAGCACCCGGCATTGTGCCCGTCCTGCGCATTAAGCCCGTTAGGATGTAATAACGTTGTACGGAGAGCTCGTGTAATTCCTGCGCAATGCCGGCTTCGTCGACGTGCGTGCGTGCGGTACGACCACGGCGCCGACTCGCCGAGAAGGCAGCAATCTCCTCGTTGGATCGTTTCCCAACGATCCTCCACCCAACGATCGTAAAATATTGGAAATTCCGCGGATCTGCAAATTCCACAGTGAATATATGGGGGCTTCCCAGACTCCTCCCCCCCCCTCCCCCCTTCCCGGAAAACTGATTTCCCTTTCTACGGAAAAAGCTCGGCCTCTCGTAGGGTTTCGACGGGAATCTCATCGACGTTCGGCTTAACTGCAGAAAAGTGCGCAGGGCCGCCCGTGTGCAGCCTTCGCCTTGAGATCTTCGATTTGGCGAACGGCTAGTAATATTTGATTTCCATTTGAATTCTCGTACGCATATATACGTATCTCCGAATCCAGATACGACATGTACTGCTATGAGAATTGTTGTAGACGCTATTGTAGAAGAATAGACTCACGAATACTTGAATCTCATTGAGAAATAAACTCCAAGAACTGTTCTTGGGAATTATTCAAAAGTTTGTATTAACAATAAACATCGGTACGGATTTCTCGGAATAGAAGTGGAATCGGTATCTCCTCAAATTTGTAGTCGCAGGATTTACGAATAGGATCGTTAATGAATTCTGTATTGCGTTGTCACGACTGGAGAAGCTTGCAACGAGAGTTCTCAACGATTGATCGTCCATCATAAAGTTTCCCCAGTACATACGTTCGTCGATCATAAAGCGAGTATTAAAGAGTAATATCGAGACTATGTAGTTTGTATGGAGGAGGAATTACGACCGCATTTCGACATAAGGAATAGGAGCGAGGCAGGAGGCAGAGCGGCACTTTGTGTACCGCCAATCCTCTTGGCATTAAGCTTCTCCTCGACCCTTGCCACTTCTATTTCGGCTCCGACTCCATTTCATCTCTCATCTTTCGTACGCAGTGCAGATGGAGCGTCCATATGAGCGTACGGAGCCATTTGTTAAACAGACAGTACGATGGCGCGGCAAAGTAGATTTAACGAATAATCAGAGCAATAGTGGAACACGAATCGATCGGCTGGAGCTTTCGTTCTTCGACTGACCGCGTTGGATACGTTAATTGCAATTAGCACCATGCGTGTAGCGTAGTACACCTACACTAATAAAGAATAGTGGTAGCCGTGATAACGTTAAGCCGGAGCTTTGCCCTAACGGGATATGAAAATTTAAATCTCACGAAGATATCAGAGTCATTTTTTATTTTATACTTTCTTTCGCGCCAGACTCACCGTGATAACGTAATTTTCTTTTCGTTTACTCTAAGCATTATGATCTTGGCTATTTAAGATTTAAAAGCTGAGTATATCGCGTCAGTGATTGAATAGCCGTCGTGGAAAGAAGATTAAGTGGCGGCGCTTAAAAGGCCGATTAGATTGAAATGAGAAAGTAGCTACAATCTAATGGTGAAATAACTTCTCACCTATCAAGCGATCAGCCAGACAGTCGATAACCAGATTATCTATAACTATTATTTCCTTTATCGGATGTTCACCGGTTCAATCAATATTACCATATCTGGATGTTCAAATTGATTAAAAAATAAATTCTTTTAAGATCAATTATAGAGATATCTAAAATCAAAGTTTGGACATAAAATAATAACTTATTGATTTGACATTTTTCGTCAATTTATTTATGTTATTCAGAGTGAGATAGCGTATATCTTTTTTCTCTCGCACCGCTGCAGAGTGAGATATAACATGTCTTCTCTCACTCGCACGATTTTAACGAGAAATGCCAGACCTCTTGTTATAATTAGACTCTGATTAAAGGATCTCTAATTGTAAGATAAATTATTGGCTGTGCCAGATTCTTTGTTGTAATTACAAGGATTAATCATTGATTGTTGACATGATATATGACATACTTATGAGAGAAATATAAAACATTGCGCATAATGGCAGTCGAATATAATTTTAGAATAAATGTTTTATTGGGATAAATTTCTAATAACGATTTTATATTAGCTTATAACACATTTTGGGCTAATTCCTAATTAATCATCAACTGCGCAATCTTGGCATCCACGGAAATGAAATACTTGGTATTTTTATATCATGGATATAACTAAGAGATATATTGATTAACAAATAGCACGCAGAAGATTACTAAAGAAAAAAGATTATTTCTCAAGGCTCTCTCATGATGTATGATGTTACAGCAATGAGTACCACGGAGCCTACTGGGGAGGGTGGAGGAGGAGGGGGAGGAGGAGGAGAAGGAGAAAGCGCCACAATGACTAATGTCGAGCAGACTCCATCCCCAAGTACGCCAATTACTGGCACCTCCGTACCGATGCAGGTAAAATCGTTGGATTCATAAAGTATCGCAAATAATTTCTAAAATGTTGCGCCAATATGGCGGAAGTGAATGTAGTTCACGATTTCATGTATGGTGGTTTATCTTTTAAACTGTATTTACATTTCTCTTTGTGCACTTTCATGCACTAAACTTCTACCAACAAATAAACTCGTATTAAACTAAATAATATACATAAATTAAGCATTCATATATATATTTTTGGCAAATATATTTTTAACAAATGTTTCGATCACGATCATTATCAATGTTTACAAAATAGATCTAAATGGTAAAAACATAACATAAAGTCGAAGATTAAAACTGCAATCCGTGTTTAATAATTATAATTGTTGATATTAATAAATTAAGAAGAATCTTATTAGTAGAACGGAACAGTAACATACAAAAAATACATACATTAGAATTCGTAAGAAAGGTAAAAACTTATAGATAATAACTACTATGTACAGTTGATGGCAAATGAAAATATACTTCGCAATGTCAAGACATCAAACTGTTGGTATCAGAAATCCTCGCTCATTAGAAAAATTGTACAGCAAAAAACATCGGTGTATGAGTATAAATTAGTGTCGAGAACGAAAAATAACTTCTTAAATAAAAATAAATTCTTAAATAAAATACATATATACAAATGCATACATTTAAAATGGCCATATTTCGCGTCAAAATGAGGGGGCAAATTTGCGGTACTTCATAAATTTAATGATTTTACGTGCAGGCGGCAGCTCAACAGCAACAGCAACCGCAACAACATCCGCCACCGTCGCCCTTGAGTGGCTGCTACCTTCTCGTGGTACTTCCTGAGCCTCATACCGCACAACATAAGGACCTCATCCTGAATCGCCTCGCAAAAGGTAAGATGTTTATTTTAATTTAAGTTATAATTAAATTTTCGCAACCATATATACTTTTTGCTATGATCATTCTTAGTAACAGAAAAAGACATAAGTCGCACATATGCGGGGACATATAATATAATGAAAAAAAAATCTCGTTTTAGCTTTCTGTACGCAAAATATGGTTTCACTTCAGTACGTGTTATCAGTTTAACGGCACGCATTAATGCGTACGATTATAGCTGATAGACACGTGTTTATTGTTATAATTATATTGTAATAATTATATCCCTGTGAAAATATCGAGATTTAATCATGTATCGGATACAATAATTCCTCGACGATACAAATGGCATGCTAAGCTTAGTTGAGAATGCATTTTGTGATTGCACATTGTTAGATATCAAAGGAACAAGCATAATCCAATGTTTTGAGTTAAATTACATTTGGTTATCTTCAATTTCCGTGCGTGTCAAAATCAATTCATTTCTGTGATTAGTTTCAAATTGTTTAGTTTAAATATCATTATATATTAACGCATTTAATAAATAATAAACTACATTTGAGACAAATTTAATACATTTTTTGAATGAAATTGTTTTAATTAAATTAATGACACACACATATATATGTTTAATCGTTTCCACAAATTAAGAAAATATAAAAAATTTCAAAATATTATTGAAAACGAGGAAATTTTGTCTGTAAATCAAAATTATGGAATTTTAGAATGAAGAATTTTTTGCAACCCTGATTAAATTCACAATGTCGAATTATAAAAATTGGGTATAATTCGACATTATACATTTAATCAGGGTTGCAAAAAAAAAATTCTTCATTCTAAAATTCCATAATTTTTCCTTGATTTACAGACAAAATTTCCTGGTTTTCAATAATATTTTAAAATTTTTTATATTTTCCTAATTTATGGAAACGATTAAATATTTGACAAAGCAATTTAACATAGCAATATTTGCATTTAATTATTAACTTGGTAGTATTCCAAAACTGTGTAGATGTAATGTACATATGTACGTAAAATTTCTTTAAAACCAAGAATTTTGATTTTCCAGAAAATTTTGCAAAATTCCCTTACTTTTCTCTGATTTCTTTGACCATTTTCAATTTCCCTGACATTTCCGTGATTTTCTCGATTTCCAGTTTTGTGGCAATCCTGTTAATAGTGCAGTGATTCGCGATCGTAATCATCTTCCATTTCAGCGGTCGTATCACAACGTCGCGTTTCCGGATTAAGATCGCGCATATTCGTCGCATTGCTTATTTCCTGGATGTATGTATACGACTGTGTCTGTCTAACGGTGCTCGTCATCCGATTATATTCCTTTCGAGATATCGGACAGGTTCGACGAACAGTTGGTTGCTAGGCGGATAGTAAAACGGACACTCGTATTCTTTTTCTTTCTCTCTTATATGAGAAGAAAATCGTCATGGCGCACAACTCGTTTATTCCTAATCGTCTGCCAATTAGATGTTCGATATCGAGCTGTTAATTCCTCCGCGTTCATATACGCGTTTTCCCCCACAGACATATATGAATGATGGTTGGCGGTGCCGATATAAAGCTTCTTTCAATCATGCGAGAAAGGTACGTGTTTGTAAGTGGCACTATGATATTAATTGGCTTTTATGGCGAACATTTATTCGTTTGCGGTTTACCGTAATTATACGTCAGTAATGCACGATCGATAAGACAATTCCATTTCCTTAAGGCTCGTCCTCACTCAAGTCAACCGTGTCGATACTGGTTTCTTTTTTTTTTTAATAAAAATAGAAGAAGAAGTCAGTACGCTGATCCAGTTTAATAGGAACAAACCTTTAGAGAATAAGAATTTCAACCTATCAGAAACTGTGTATTTCAATATATGATTTCTGATAGGTTCTTATTCTCTATTCTCTATTCCCTGTTCCTTTTATTGTACGGAGCCCCTTACATTCGCACAAAACGTAAGAATTGAATATTTCAAAGTTTTTACAATATTATTTGCGCAATTTTAACAATGCTGTACTCTAATTAGTCAATATTGTTCCTTATATAGATGTATTCAATTTTTAATTTCGGAATTCCGCATTATAGGTACAATCTTTTCAAATATTATACGTCAAGAAGTCATGCATTCTTATAAAAATTCATAATCTCAAGAAAAAAAAATCTTACGTAATGAATTGTTCTTAAATATATATATCGTAAACTTTAAATAAAAAATATGTTTTTTACAGTAACAATTTTTTAAGTGCATAAAAAAATTAAGAGGAAATACTATGTAATCTCTCATATTATATCGATTTACTATTATTATTATCGTCACGAAATTGTCGTTACAATCGCTATATACGAATATGTGCTTGGGGTTCATAATTAGCGATGCCAACGTGGTCCACATATTAAATTAGAAGCGATAAAAAGGAAGCATAAAAGGACCAATAAAAAGAAATATGTCATACGTTATGTCCTTTCGATAAAGATAAGTACAATACATTGTGGAATTTCAATAATAACAGGGACATCGATTTCAAATTGATCAAAGGATCCGTTAATAAAAAATTTATATCAATATATCTTTTATTACGTACAACTAATTTGTTAATTAGAATTTTTCTTCGGAATATGTATTTCTACTTGTGCACGTTTCTAAGGTATAACATTATGTTCCCTACAGTTGAAATAATGGAATTCTGTAATATATTGCTTTTCTAGAGTCCAGAAAACAAAATTAATGTATTAACACTGCGTTTTTTAAAAGAAGAGAAGAAAGAGAGAGAGAGAGAGAGAGAAAGAGAGAGAAAGAGAAAGAGACAGAGAGAGGGAAAGCCGACGCGCGAACTCTGTACTCGTGTTTTCCGCATTGCACCAGTGATGATTTTTAACGATGCGCTTGTCGACTTCGTTTAACGTTTATTTTACAATTTTTCAATCCTTTCGCACGCAAATTCCATAGTCTGCCTCGCCGCGGTCGTTTGCATTTGCGACGATGATTTCGCGAGAAGCCGTCCGATAATAACATCGCTGTGTGCGTATATGTACGTGAGCGCCGTAACTTCGCTGTTAATAGCGAACTGTATTTCATATAGCGTACATACATGGAATTTAACCTGCGATTAAATATATTGTATACTCCGATTATGTATTAAAGTGTTCCATTATATAAACGTAAAGTGTAAATAACGAACGTAAAAACTGCGTGTGATTTAAACAAATTTTTTGGAGAACAGCTCAAATCAGAGTAAGTGTTTTTTATAGATTTTGGATCACAGTATCCGAATTCGTAAACTGTTTTTGTTCCATCATGTTTATTGTTTTAGATCAAATGATGGAAAATCTGTGAAAATTGAAACATTTAAGGAAATTGCAGCAAAAGTAAATATAACATTAAAATGCGGTCACAGAACTGATTTAAATATATATTTTAGCAAGTTTAATAAAGTGTAAGAAGCAACAATTTTGCTTCACTGTTTATAGATATTATAGTGTATATATGCATCGCGTAAATTCATATCGATATACTTCGTGCCTAATTCTCTCTCTCTCTCTCTCTCTCTCTCTCTCTCTGTAGTTAACATACCTTCCAAAAGTAATAATTAATATAACTATTTCTGGAGCTGAAAAAATTTTCTATAGTTCACGCAGATCGGTTATTTGTTACACAATACATTTTACCGATTTGTTTTCTAACGTGTTAGGCTATAATATCTAACATTATTAATAAACTAAAATTTTTTTGTTTCTTATACTTGTCAAACTTACTAAAATATATTTAAATCAGTTCTGTGACTATTTTAATGTTAAATTCACTTTTGCTCTTTCCTCAAATGTTTTAATTTTCACTTTTCCATTATTTTTCTTGATTATCTAAAAAACTGAGCAAAACGAATTGGGATTCAGCAACTTAAAATCTATAAGAAACATCTATTTTGAGTTGGCTCTCCAAACATTTTTTTCGTTGTCCTATATTATTAAAGCTTCTACTCACTGCAGCCATCTTGGATTGTAACGTATGAAGCGAGAAAAATATACATAAAGAAAACTTTGGCAAACTACATTAAAACATATTTTTTAATAAAACAGCATTTGCACTTGAATAGAATAGATTTGTAAAACTCCTTTTGTGTGTGTTTCAGTAGTTAACAAATAACTATATAATATTTGAAATTGAGTTATGTCTAACCAAAAAAAAGAAACAAGCTTATATGACAGCTGCCGAATCAAGATAAATATGATTTTATTTTGAAACAAAAAGAGAATTCAGTATATATATTTTACTGTATCAAATGCAAATATTATTTTATTAAAAAATATTTCTATTTTAATGTATTGTGCAAGAATTTTCATTGTGTTTTCTCGCTTCTGATATAATCTGATAAATCATTAATTTGAAAATCTGTGCTGAAGAAGCTTTAAATTATTATAGTCAGGAGCTTTAAATTATTATATTTATAATAATGATCATAATCATCAAACGTCTCTCATATCTAGTTCTTTTTCCTCTTCGCATTTTGCTAATTTCTTTATATTTCGAAGTCAACATTCAGATATTCGAGATTACTTGTGCAGCCGCGTACGATCATTAAGATTCGCTTTACTTTAGACTTACACGGGAAAATAGCCACGCAAAAACATTCCCCGCGCTTTCGTGCTTCAATATGATTTGCTCTTTTCTTCATCAAGAAGCGCAGGAGCTCTTCTTACCTCGTACTCTTCGCGTGGATCTTCGTATGGACCTCCTCTCCTGCTTCGCGTAAATTTAGCGGTAGATTTCGAGCCTGTGAGACATTTGCCGCGCCATTTGCCGCATGTTGCGGGCGTTACCGCGTGCTCGCGGCTTCGCCGTGTCCTTAAATACACTCAAAAACTCGCGCGTACGCTTTTACGAATCCTCTGGTTCAAGCTCGTTGAGCCCTCGTCACGCGAGCATATTTCTAATTTGTTTTTTTTTTTTTTTTTGAATTTACTACCTACGCTTGTCCACTACGTATTTTCTTGCTCTTCAGAAAGATTCTAA